GCGACTCACGTTCTACGGTACATCAAGGCCTGTCCCGGGCAGGGTTTGTTTCTTCCAGTACAAAGTGATCTTACTCTTAAAGCTTTCTGTGACTCTGATTGGGCTGGGTGTCCCTTGACTCGGCGTTCTGTTACTGGATATTTTATCACTCTTGGCGATTCCCCGGTATCGTGGCATACAAAGAAACAAAGTGTAGTTTCCCGTTCTTTGGCTGAAGCCGAATACAGGGCCATGGCAACTACTGTTTGTGAACTCAAATGGCTGAAATCCCTTCTCTTCTCCCTTGGTGTGCGTCACAAACAGCCCATGCGGTTGTTTTGTGATAATCAGGCTGCTCTTCATATTGCCGCTAATCCGGTCTTCCATGAACGTACAAAACACATTGAGATTGATTGCCACTTTGTACGTGACGAAATCCAACGAGGTGTTTTGTGTACTCGCCACATCTCCACCAATGATCAACCGGCAGATCTCTTTACAAAGGCTTTGGCTTCCGCTCCGTTTTCTCATTTACTGTCCAAGCTGGGCATCCAGAATCTGCATGCTCCAGCTTGAGGGGGGGTATTGGAACTGAGAAGTCCGGATCCGGAGAAGTCCGGATCCGGAGAAGTCCGGATCCGGAGAAGTCCGACTTCCGAGGAATCCGGATTCCGAGAGATCCGAATTCCGAGAGATCCGAATTCCGAGAGGTCCGAATTCCGAGAAATCCGAACTTGAGAAGTCCAAATCCTTTGATGACCGAATCCCATTCTAATTAGGATTGATCTTGATTTATTTGTTTCCTAGTTTGATTATGATTTGTTTCCTTGTAGGATTTGTATTCCTTGTCTATTTTGAAATCATCCTCTCCTATAAATAAAGGAGAAATCCCTTGTAACTAAACAGAACAATTGAATATACAGAATATTTTCCCTCTTATTATTTTCTACAAAAAGTAAAATGAGAAGATCTATTGTGGACAAAGAAAAAGGACTATTGGGAGGATCTATGGAGGACGGAGGGAGTACTATTGTTATAG